GGGAAGGGCGTGCAGCCCCTTGGCCCCCTGTGCTGTGTGGAACCAGCCCCCTGACACCTGACTTGGTGAACAGGAGCGGAGCCAGAGTGAGCGCAGCGGTCCAGGCCCTCACAGGATGTCGTCACGGGATGTCCCTGCGCTGTGGGGCTGAGATGGCTGGGGGCTCTTTGGAACGGACAGGAAGATGCTTTCTGAGTGGTGTTCGGGCTCCCCTGACGGGGCTGGCCACTGGCTCTGGATGACGGCATTGCACCTGGGGCTGAGGCGTGGCTGGAGGCCGCCCAGAGAGTCTGCCTGGGCCTTAGGCGGTGCCCCTGCACCGCCTCCTCACCGTGCACTCTCAGCGGGAGCAGCTCCCTGCCGGCTGGGCGAGCCGCAGCCCCTCTGGGGACAAGCTGCGGGGGCTCGTGTTTGCGAGGCTGGTCGAGGGGGAGGGGTGGCTTGGAGGGGTGGAAGAAAGCCCGCTGCCTGCTTAGTTTATTCAGACGTGGAGCCAGGCCCCTGATGGTTTGCTGAAGTAGCTGCTCAAAAGTTCCAGCGGATTTGGGGTCTGACGGCTGCCACGAGCTTTAGCTGGAGGGTGTGAGACCTGGCCGCCCGGTTGGCATGGCCGCGTGTGGGTGGCCCCAGCCCGCAGGTGTCATGGGAAGATGCAGGTGCCAGAGCCATCACGGGAATAGAGTGTGTCTGAAGGAGAGCATTTTAAGTTCATTTTTCTCTTCATTTGACCATTCCCAATTTTCCCTCGTTATTAAATGGTTACATTTCAAATTATCTTTACTTCAAAGGAGAATGGAGGGCCTTGGTTGAGAGTCAGCTTTCTGTGTCACTCTAGTTCCTGGCTTTGTGGGGCTAGTTTGATTTAATAATAGTTTGCATCCTCCTTTGACTAACATAGAAAAATACAAGACAATTTAAATCCCTTTAAAATGTTAAAAAAATCCCTTGGCCTAAAGGGGTTTACTTGTTTTTCTTGCTTGCTTACTTGCTATCCAAGGTCGGAAGGCATGAAGAAGCTCTGAGGAGAATGGGGATCTGGCATTCAAGGCTGGTTCAACCCCTCCTCTCTTAGATTTCAGTTTTTCAAAGGTCTCCTGCTGGTGAGCATTTTTCAGTGTGTTATCTCATCCACAGAGCTGGCTTGCATTTAGGGCAGAGTAAGGGTAGAAATCTTGGCATCTTGCCTCTTGTTCCTCACACATCAAGGCCGTGTCCTCACAAAATGTGCAGGAAAGGGTGTTTCTTCTGGTGGCCGGGGGGGCCTGCATGAGGCGGTGTGAAAGGGAGAGTGCCTAGACCTCCCTGCCGGGGGGGAGTGTGGAGGACAGAGGCCCATGTGGGGGCGGGCTGTAGGCTCTGCTCCGTGCAGGGGCTGCGATGGGCTTTCAGGATGTATTGCTGGCATGCGGGAGCCTTAGGCTTCATGCTCTAGTGATGGCAGACCCCGGAGGCCCCGGCTGGTCACAGGGAAGATGGTCCTGAGCAGCCTCATGATGAGGTGTGGAGAGGCTTGGGGGCTTCTTGGAGGAAGTGACAGTTGTCCTGAGACCTCTCCTGTGAGGATGACAGAGGCCTGAGGCGGCTGAGGGAGGCGCTCTGCAGGCCCAGGGTTAACCATCACAGATATGCGGGGAGCGGATGGGTTGGCGTGTCCAGGCAGCAGAGGAAAGTCCAGCGGGAGGCGGAGAGGCCCCCCCAGGCTGGGTGGCCTGGGGTCTGTGGGCTCTGGACATGAGGCGCAGCCCAGCAGGTTTCTGTGAGCGGCCCTCGGGCAGGCATGACTGCAGGGGCGACTTCTGCAGGAGTAGGGAGGACTGGGTGCTGTGCTGGCTCTGGGGGCTGGGAAAGTGGCCTGTGGGTCCTGAGCGGCCGCCCCTATGGAACCCTGGGCTTGAGCCCCAGGCCTCCGCTCTCCTCCATGTGGTGCCTGATTATAGTTTTGATTTGTGTTGCTCTAAGGATTAGAGTCCCTTGGACTGCAAGGAGATCCAACTAGTCCATCCTAAAGGAGATCAGTCCTGGGTGTACATTGGAAGGACTGATGCTGAAGCTGAAACTCCAATACTTGGCCACCTGATGCAAAGAGTTGACTCATTGGAAAAGACCCTGATGCTGGGAGGGACTGGGGGCAGGAGGAGAAGGGGACGACAGAGGATGAGATGGCTGGATGGCATCACCGACTCGATGGACATGAGTTTGCGTAAACTCCGGGAGTTGGTGATGGACAGGGAGGCCTGGTGTGCTGTGATTCATGTGTTTGCAAAGAGTCGGACATGACTGAGTGACTGAACTGAACTGAAGAATTAGTGATGTTGAGTGTCTTTCTCTTTTTTCTTAATGCCATGTTAGCTCCATGCAGGGGTCAGTAGTCTTTGCTCTCCACTTCATGTTCCATTTCTGTCTCTCGCCTCCCTTCCTCTTTGAAGACATTAAAAACAAAAACCCTGTTTTTTGACATTGATGTGTAGTTAATTTACAGTATTGTTATTTCAGGACCATGCTGACACAGTGTCCAGCAGAGTGGTACAGTTATACGTCTCTGTCCTTTTCAGATTCTTTCCCATCATAGGTTATTACAAGGCACCGAATGCAGTTGTCTCTGTTACACGGTACATTCTTGCTGTGTATCTGTTTTATTCCTAGTAGCATGTATCCATTGGCTTCCCTGGTGGCTCAGATGGTAAAGCATCCGCCTGCAATGACGGAGACCTGGGTTTGATCCCTGGCTTGGGAGAATGCCTTGGAGAAGGAAATGGCAACCCACTCCAGTATTCTTGACTGGAAAATTCCACGGATGGAGGAGCCTGGCAGGCTATAGTCCATGGGGTTGCAAAGAGTTGGACACGACTGAGCCACTTCACTTGACTTCACTTCATGTATCCATTAATCTCATACTTATCCCTCTCTCCCCCTCCGCCCTTTGGTAATCATAAGTGGTTTTTTTGGTATGTCTATGAGTCTCATTTCTGTTTTGTAAATGAGTATATTTCTATCATTTTTTTTATTTAATTTTTTAAAGATTTATTTATCTTTATTTTTTCGTTGCACAGGGTCTTTGTTGCTGTGCATATGGGCCTTAGCTAGTTGCTGTGGCGTGTGAGCCCCTCACTGTCGGCTGTGGCGTGTGAGATCCTCACTGTCGGCTGTGGCATGTGAGATCCTCACTGTCAGCTGTGGCGTGTGAGATCCTCACCGTCGGCTCTGGCGTGTGACCCCCTCACTGTCGGCTGTGGCGTGTGAGCCCCTCACTGTCGGCTGTGGCCTGTGAGATCCTCACTGTCGGCTGTGGCGTGTGAGCCCCTCACTGTCGGCTGTGGCGTGTGAGATCCTCACTGTCGGCTGTGGCGTGTGAGATCCTCACTGTCGGCTGTGGCGTGTGAGATCCTCACTGTCGGCTGTGGCGTGTGAGATCCTCACTGTCGGCTGTGGCGTGTGAGATCCTCACTGTCAGCTGTGGCGTGTGAGCCCGTCACTGTCGGCTGTGGCGTGTGAGATCCTCACTGCTGTGGCTTCTCTTATTGGAGCGTGTGGGCGTGTGGGCTTCAGCAGGTGCAGCTCTCGGGCTTAGAGTGCTGGCTCAGTGGTTGTGGCACACCAACCCAGTTGCTCAGTGGCAGGTGATCCTCTGGGACCAGGGATCAGACGGGCATCCCTTGCACTTCAAAGCACACTGTTAAACCACTGGGCCCCCAGGGAATCATCTGTCACTTTTTAGATCCCACATATAGTGACATCATATATACAGTACTTGTCTTTCTGTGTCTGATTTGCTTCAGTTAGCATGATAAGCTCTAGGCCCACCCATTTTGTTGCAGATGGCATTATTTCATTCATTCTTGGTGGTGGTGGTGTAGTTGCTAACTTGCGTCTGACTCTTGAGACTTCAGTGAGTACTCTATCCTGGAGGCTCCTCTTGTCCATGGCATTTCCCAGGCAAGAATACTGAAGTGGGTTGCCGTTTCAGCCCAGGGTTCGAACCAATGGCCCTTGCATTGCAGGTGGATTCTTTACCTCGGAGCCACGAGGGAAGCCTTTCATTGTTTTTTATGGCTGAGTAATATTCCTTTGTATATATATGTACCACATCTTCTTTACCCATTTGTCTGTTGATGGACATTTAGAGTGTTTCCATGTCTTGGGTATTGTAAATATGCTACAGTGACCCATTGTATATATGTAATTTTTCAAATTAGAGTTTTCTCTAATCCCAGTCCCAGGAGTAGGTTTTCAGAATCACATGGCAGCTCTATTGCAGTTTTTTTGCATTTCCACCAGCAGTGTGGAGGGTTCCCTTCTCTGCACACCCTCTCCAGCATTTGTTATTTGTAGACTTTTTGATAGTGGCTGTTCTTACCGATGTGAAGTGGTGCCTGATTATAGTTTTGATTTGTGTTTCTCTAAGAAATAGTGATGCCGAGCATCTTCATGTGCCTGTTGGCACCTGAATGTCAAAGGCGTTTTGTGCGTGCTGTCCTGAGCCTGGCGTTGGGCTGGGGGAGTGGGCTCAGGGTGGCCTGTAGCCTCAGGTCCCTGTCTGTGGAATGGGAAGTGCGCAGCGGGGCCACTGCGAGTGCCAGCTGACCGCTCACCTGGAAGTTTTCACACCGGAGGCGCTGTGCCCGCGGTGCCTGTTGCTCCACTGCTGCCGTCCGCACGCGTGGGGCCTGCGAGGAGGAGAGGAAGCCAGCGTGCCCTGGGCACCGTCTCTGCGGCCGCCGGCAGGCACTGCTTCTCCTCATTCACAGCCTCTGCGTGGCCGTGGTGTGACGCGCCGACTCGGGTTTTACAGGCAAGGGCTGGCACAGGTGACGTCCCCGGTGTCACCCGGCCGGCAGCCGGCTGCGCCGTGAGCCCCACACCCGAGGCCCGGGGCCTGACGGGCCCGGACGCGCCCCGCTCTGGAGTCCGCCAGCGGCCTGCCTGGCTTTGGGCCGCTGCCGGGGTCAGAGCCCGTCTCCTGCAGGTGCAGCCCCGCTGACCCCTGTGTTTGTGCTCCCCAGGACCCCAGAGGACCTGTCCAGGTTCATCGTGGAGCTGCAGCAGCGCGAGCTCGCCCTCAAGGACAGGAACTGCTCCATCACCAGCAGGTAGGCCTGCGGTCCTGCTGGTCCAACAGCATACTTGCCCTGGAGAGGGCTTGCGGGCGAGCGCGCCCCCGGCTGGGGCGGCTGCGCCTCCCGTCCCCGGCTTCGCGGAGCAGGGCAGGCACAGTGGGTGCACGGGGTCCCTCGTCCTGCCCCGCCGCGCCGAGGCCGAGGCGTGCGGTCTTCCAGACGCTGCGACCCATCGGCCGGGGGCCCTGGGGTGGCCCCCCAGCCCCACGCAGCCCAGGGGTCTGGCCAAAGGCGTACTCACATCATTCACTGTTGAGGAAATTCCAGGGATTTGCAGAGCTCTGTGCCGGGAAAGGGGAGCATGCCCACGTGTCGGCCTGCTCCTCACTGACAAATGCGCGGGCCTGCCCACTGCTGTCTGCCTCCGTGCCCCGGGGCCCAGGGCAGGCTTCCCTTGTGTGTGCAGGGTGGCTGCCGGCGTCCTGGCTGTCGAGTCAGAGGCAGGAGAAGAGGCCTCTTCCTTTTTGGAACCAGGAAACCTTTGCTAGGACCCTCACTGCTGGCAGACTCTCCCTGGTCACTCTCCCTGCCCCAGACCAGGTCACCCACGGAGGATGGGGTTAAACTAGCCGGTTCCCACTTAGAGTCACTTGAGGGTGGACAGCTGCGTGAGGTCAGCTCCGCCGGTGAGTGAAGTGAGTGAAGGGCTCGGGGAGGCTGAAAGGATGCTGACCAGGAGGGACCTTGGACGCTCGCGCTCGCCCTGATGGGCTGGAGAGGATGGGTCTGTGAGGTCAGCCTGCGGGCCGTGGTCACCCCCTCAGCCTCACCCCCGGTGCAGACTGTGTGTTAATAGTTTATTAATAACCAGAGGAAGCCTTTCTTATTTTGGGGGCTGATGTCACTTTGAAAATTGGCTTTTAGAAGCATCTAGTTATGTTGGACATAATCACATCAATTTAGTTTAAAAACCTCAAATGATAAAGATTGCCTTTTGCTTTCAAAGTTGCTGTCAGATAAAACGGGCATTAAAAGTGATTTGAAATTAAAGCTGTAACATTTTTCCAGGCGATCCTCTTTATTTTACTTTGAATTTGAAACAGAATGAACTGTTAGAGGAAAGGGAACTTGTCTGCATCTTTCTCCTGCCAAACTGTGAGGCACTTTCTAAAGTTACCTGCTTGAGCAGCAGCAGGAAAGTCAGCCTCTCAGAGCTGTGTCGTTCTGGTCTGTGGTCCTAGATGGTGAGTCAGTCGTCCCATCTCTTCTGTGGGGTGGGTTTAGAAATGGACTCGTATTGCAGGGAGTGGTCCACCACGGAGGGGAGGTGGTCTGGGGGATTTGTAGCCCCTCGTCCACCTCTCAGGACCCTTGGGTTCCCTCTGATAGCCAGTGCAGCTGCCCCGGGAGCAGGGGGTCAGGGGCCTCCTGAGAAAGAGCTTTGCCTCCTCAGCAGGGGGGCAGCCTGCCTGACGGGTCCCACAGGTGAGGGGAGGGGAGGTGTGGCGCCTCGGCCATGGGGCCTGGGCTGGACTGGTGGCCAGGGCTGGGGTGCCCTCGGCCCTATCCTCACTCCTCGGACAGACAGTCTTGACGGTGCGCCCCCCCACCCCCCAGGAGCACGTCTCATGTGCCGGCACTGAGCATCGTCCCCTTCCTGCCAGGGAGGTCCCCCTTGTCCGCTGACAGAAAGTACGGGAGAAGCCCTGGGAGCAGGTGAGGCTCCTACCCTGTCTGCTGGTGGTGGAGTCACGTGCAGGCCCCTGTAAGGAGGTGCCAGGCTGGGTCCTATGCCCCCGAGGCCCTGGCTAAGCCGAACGGAGGGCCGTGGGCAGTGCCGTGCTCACAGGCGGCAAACCGACGTTGCCGTGCTGGGTGTGTTCTGCGTGGAGGCCAGGAGACCTCGTGAGGCTGGAAGGACTAATGTCACTTCCTCAAGTCTTTGAAGGCAGCTGGGCAGAAATCCAAGTGAGATGAGGAGAGGCACCTTTGCAGGAGAGCGGAAGCCTGGGCTCTGCCCGGCCCCAGGCCGGTGGGGTTCTGGCTGGAGGGCTTGGGGGCTCTTCTGAGGATGAGGCGAGGTGGCGGGAGGAGCCTCGTCTTCAGCCGCGCTCAGGAAGCACTAGGTGGTATAAGGTGTCACCGGGCAGTCCTCTGTGGCCGTAGGACGGGTGGTCTTGAGTTCCAGTTGACGTCCTGCCGGGCGGCCTTGGGGAGAGTTGATGTTGGTGAGCCTTTCTGTGGGCAGGGTGCCTTGGCCCACGGGCTGGTCTGTCTTCCACACCGTGGCCCTCCTGGGACAGTTCCAGAGGCGCTGCTGGTCGCTGACAAGAACGCTGTCGCTTCCTTGCCTCTGGACTGGAGTTCAATCACAGCCCAGGGAACCTTGCCTCTCACGCGTGGCTGCCCGGCGTTGGTCTTGGTCCCCGTGGGGCGTGCTGAGGGTGAAGGCTCCCGCTGTGTGCGTGGTGTGGCTGTGGTGAGAGTGTTCCGGTGCCAGGCTGCGTGCCGCGTGCCTCGCACATGGCGTCTCTCCTGAGCCCTGCACGATGGTGCTGTCTGTCCCCCAGCAGGGCGCCGAGCCCCATGTCAGACACCTAGAAAGCCGGATCTGAATCCTGGTCTGCACATCCTGGGAGCTCCACGTCCTTATGTGAGGCTGGAGCCAGGTCCCGGAGAGGTGCTAGGTGTGGCTGCAGAAAACCCTCTGTCACGCGTTTCTCTGCGCAGTGGAGCCGTGTGTCGTGGGCCTGCAGGTGTGGCCCTGGTGTCGGGCCAGGTCCTCGGTGCGGGTCTGGGGGACCTGCTGTCGGAGCGGGTGAGGGGAAGCCGAGCAGCCTCGGGGGCTCTGCCTGTCACGCGCCGTGCACTCCCGCCAAGCCCGGCTCTCTGGGACGGCTGGTCCCTCTGCACACTCAGCCTGTTCACACCCGACGCACGCTGCAGCTCTGGGCTGCTCTGACCACTGCAGGTTGTTCTGAAGATCAGTTTCCCCTGCTCTGGGCTGTACGTGTCTCAGAAGAGCCTGTGGCCTCAAGCTGTTAGTGTTTGAGGAGCCCTGCAGTGCCGGGGGCTTCCCGGGGGCACTCGTGGTAAAGACCCCGCTTACCAGCGCAGGAGACATAGCAGACGCAGATTCAGTCCCTGGGTAGGAAGAGCCCCTGGACAAGGGCATGGCTCCCCACTCCAGTGTTCTTGCCTGGGAAATCTCATGGACTGAGGAGCCTGGCGGGCTACAGTCCATGGGGTCACAAAGAGCCGGACACGACTGAAGCAACTTAGCACTCAGCACCCAGAGTCCTGGGGAGATTGTGACTGCAGGGTAGTGCAGGGCAGGCAGTGGCGAGTTCCCAGCAGGCAGACTCGGAGTGAGCAGGATAGCTCGCGCGCGCGTGTGTGTGTGTGTGGTGGGGGCGGGGCGCGGGGCGGACAGAGACTGCAAGTTTGCACGCATGGGCATCCCTGAACGATGGGGGTCCAGGGTTTACTGTGGACCCAGCGTGACAGGTGAGACAGAAGGACAGGGTGAGGCCTTTGGTAAGAGCATGTGGATGGTGGTATTACTTCTCATGTCGCTGGAGAACTTATTAGAAGAGCAGGTGAAGGCAGCGGGAGCCGGAAATGCAGCTTTGGCCACTGAGGCCTGTTAGACAAGTGTGTGGAGCGTGGAGAGGGTGCCGGCGGGCTCAGGCCAGGGTAGCCGTCTAGACCGGGGTGCCCCTTCCAGGAGGGTGAGGTTGCGAGTCCGCCACAGCCTGCGGCTGGCCAGGCGGGTGGAGACACCAGAGAGCCGCTCTGCAGTCCTTGCCCCGGACACGGGCGTTTGTGGGGCAGGCGGGCGTGAGCCAGCTCTGTCCCCCCGGCACCCCCGCCCCCAGGTGTCCCGGGCAGCTGCCCCCTCCCTCCGGGGCTCGTGCCTGCCCGGTTCCTGGTGCCTCTGCCTGAAACGGCTCTGTGCCTGCCTGCTCTCACCTCGCTCCCTGCGTGCTCTGTCCCCACTGCCAGCCGTGCTCCCTGGACCCAGAGGAGGGCTGCCCGCCGCGCTCTGGTTGAGCGAGGGAACGGATGAGTGGTTCAGCTGACTGCACGGGGATGTGCCAGGCAGAGTGAGGCCTGCGGCGTGGGAGCCTGTGCTCGGCCCGTCCCGGGGCACCAGGCCGGAAGTCAGGCTGGCAGGAGCCCAGCTCAGCTGGCCTCTGACCGTGCCGTCCTGCCGGGCGGGCAGGGTGCCATCGAGGGGGCCAGGCTTTGCCTTGTCCCTCTGTGCTCCGTCCGCCGTGCGTGGTGCCCCAGCTTCGTGGACTTGCCCTGACTCTGTGATCTCCCGGGGTCCTCGACTGGGAGATGGGGCGCTGTGGTGCTGCCGCACATCCCGGACAGCCCGCTGCAGCTTCCTGTGGGATGGCTTGTATGCGCCCTCTGGGCACCCTCCCGACCCTCTGTCCCCACTGGAGGGGGCAGGGCTAGGCAGGGAGGGCACGGGAGCTCCAGGCTGTTGGGAGGGGTGTGCCCCCGTCCCACGCGGGAGCCGCCGGAGGTCGTCCTGGCCGTCACTGTCTCTGCAGCAGTGGCCCTGGGGTTCTCAGTGATGGAGATGGAGGCCTTGCCTGTCTGCTCGGCTCTTGGTGCCATGCGACCTTACGGCCTTTGGCAGGAGGTGTGGAACCAGAGGCGTCTGACAGCTTGTCTCCACGCGTTCTTCCTGGTGGTCGTGCACATGTAGGTTCCACGGCCCTGTGAGGCGCTGGCCGTGGGCTCTATGGTGGCAGAGTAGGAATGCGGCGTGGGAGCCTGTGCTCGGCCCGTCCCGGGGCACCAGGCCGGAAGTCAGGCTGGCAGGAGCCCAGCTCAGGCTCTGCGCGGGTCAGCTGGCCTCTGACCGTGCCGTCCTGCCGGGCGGGCAGGGTGCCATCGAGGGGGCCAGGCTTTGCCTTGTCCCTCTGTGCTCCGTCCGCCGTGCGTGGTGCCCCAGCTTCGTGGACTTGCCCTGACTCTGTGATCTCCCGGGGTCCTCGACTGGGAGATGGGGCGCT